TAAAAAAATAAACATTTAATATTCACTTTATTATAAATAACACAGGAGATCAAATCTAAGAAAAGAAGGACATGGGCATTCGCCGCCGGAATCCTTAATAAAATTAAAATTTGGCGATTACCTACGGATGACATTTACAATGAAGACTGGGTTGTCGACAAAGAGTCTGAACCAGTTCGTTGGTTTTCATCAGTCATATATTTAATTCTAGGGAAATTAATACTAAATACGTTTTACTTCATGCACTACCTACATCAGGACAAAGTATAAGCACCTTTGTAAATATTCAATAGACATAATTTACGCTCAAGTAGAGTAATTACTTTAAGAATTCATTTTAAAAATGCTCAACGAGTTTTTTGAGTAAATTGAAAAAATGGCTTTTGGATAATACCTAATCAATTAAATTTCAGAATTATCCGAAGCGACACAATGTATTAAAATTTAAACAAACTAATTGTTTAATTACGGTGATTTGCTGACCGAAACTTTTATAAGAAAATAGTGAGAACATTCGTAGGGTTTAGTTCTTGGGGTGTAACAGAAACAAGTTCCGAGCTGTACCGTTTTTTTTGTATGAAAATCTTTATTAGAGTGATGCCATTTGTGAAGTTTATTTCATGGTCTTTTTATGAATTTGCTCTCACTTAAAAGGAGGTTCACCCGTATGGGTGCGGGAGTGTCTAAGCATAGCGGTTCTATGGGTAAATCCTAGATTGCAGTGAGAACATTTGTACGGTTTAGTCCCGGTATGAGTGTGTTCGTGATCTCTTTTAATATTATGTCTACTAAACTGCCTGTCACAGAACGAGCACTTATAAGGACGTTCACCCGTATGGGTGCGGGAATGTCTAACCATAGTGGTTCTTTGAGCGAAACCTTTACTACAGTGAGGACATTTGTATGGTTTATCTCCAGTGTGGGTACCTTCGTGATCTTTTTTGTTCATATTTGTACTAAACCTCTTGTTACAGAACGAGCACTTAAAAGGACGTTCACCCGTATGCGAACGGAAGTGTGTCACCATACTGTTTCTCTGAGAGAAGCCTTTGTTACAGTGAGGACATTTGTACAGTTTATCATCTGTGTGAGTGCGTTCGTGTTCTTTTTTATACTTATTAGTACTAAATTTCTTGTCACAGAACGAGCACTTAGTTCCTGTGTGAGCGTTTTCGTGAATCCTTTTTTGCTCATTGGAACTAAATTTCCTGTCGCAGAAAGAGCACTTAAAAGGACGTTCCCCCGTATGGGCACGACAGTGTATAACCAAACTTCTTTTCTGAACGAAACCTTTATTACAGTAGGGACATTCGTAAGGTTTAGCTTCCGGGTGAGTGTACTTATGGGTACGGGAGTGACTAATCATAGTGGTTCTGTAGGTAAAGCCTAGATTGCAGTGGGGACATTTGTACGGCTTAGCTCCTGTGTGAGTGTGTTCATGATCTTTTCTGTAATTTTTTGTAGTAAATCTCTTGTCACAGAACGAGCACTTAAAAGGACGTTCACCCGAGTGGGTACGCGAGTGTGTAACCATAGTGGTTCTCTGGGTGAAACTTTTGCTACAATGTGGACACTTGTACGGTTTAGTTCCTGTGTGAGTGTGTTCGTGGTCCTTTTTTTTATTATTTGAAAAGAATTTTTTGTCGCAGAACGAGCATTTGAAGGGTATTTCGCCCTTGTGTCTTTTAATATGAACGCGAAGAGATCCCTTTCTTGTAAACACCTTTCCGCAAATGTCACATATGTAACGGCTTACGGGATTATGGGACAACCTGTGCCTGTGCGTTATTCTATAGGAAGAATTATTATCTTTGCCCGATTCATTAATAAAAGGATGCTTCCTATATTTGTGGTCGGCCAGTTTTTGCGAAGATTTGAAATTTTCGCCGCATATTTCGCACGATAGTGGAGGTTCACCCTCGTGATAAATTTTGACATGTTCAATGTATGGGAGATAATATGGAAAACGTTTTCCACATGTTTTACATTTGTATCGTCTATATGATTCGTGGCAATATAGATGATTAGACATTTTACTCCTATCTTCTAATTTTACATCGCATGAAGGACATTGGTACATGTTATCGTCCCTGTGACTTTTTGCATGGACGACGTATTCAATAATTTTTTTAAATCCTTCATTGCAATCGACACATTTGTAAATGTTGTCGTGAATGTCGTAATGAAGATTGAGGGCTTTCTTAGTAGGAAATAATTCGAAACATATTTCACAGGATTGTTCAATTTTACCACCCATCTTTGCCTTTTTACGTAGCGCTTTCCTAAAATATATTATTGGATTGTCTATTTCGATGTTGTGGTGCTTGCAATGTTTGAACAGGTCACTTTGAGTGAAAAGTTCAGTACACGTGTTATGGTGATGGCAATAATACATTTTCTTTTCGAATGGTTTTACAAAATTTTTATTTTCTCCTTCACTGTTCAATTTTTCGTCACATTGTGATTCTTCGGTTTCTCTAGAAATTAAACAATATTTACAAAACATGGTCAGAACAATCACTAAATTTTTGGTAGAACTTACAAACCAGGTAGACGTCCGTGACACTTATAATGTTCATGTAAGATTTCTTGGTTTACGAACATATCCAAGCATACTTCACATGGTACTTCTTTCCTTTTTTGT